CATTCCTTCTTGGTTGTAGTGGCGCTCACTCTGTATGCGCCAATTCCGAATATTGTTGTGCTCCTGAGAAATTCCAAACTCTTTACCGCTTAACTCTGTTTTGTAAGGAAATGCTATCCTGTCCGTCTAAAGACATGGACTGACAGAATGCCTACTACCGAACTCCATCTCACTTTCTCGTTCCATCAATCTCTGAGTCGCGTTTCACCTATGCTTCTTCGGGCCATCGTAGGAAGGTAATAGGCACTAAGTAACTCGGCGAATGAATAAAAACCCGTCCTCATTGCGATCGCACCTTCACGTCACGCGTCGGCCACTTGCGAATCCGTCGTACAGAGACTGGCGAGTCAATGCAATAGGCTCCGGCACACACCCGCCGTACCCTCCTTCACTATCCAGTAACACTCGATCACCGCATAGGCCTACGCAGTCACATGCGCCTCGATACTAATCAGCGCTAAATCCCCACAGACCAAACCTCAACACCACACGTCTCCCCATCAACACACGCCGCACATGAGCTTGTCCAACGTCACGCACCGCTGGTGCGGAACAGGTACCGCTCACGTACGTGGGAAGTCTGTGCTTCCGCTCCTCCATGTAACCCCTTTGCTACTCCAACACATGTAAGGTATGAGCAGCTCGTCCACATTGTGTGGACCTATGTTGTGCGGGGAACCATTCGTGTTTTGCAAGTGCGGACAGGCCGTCTTGACTCTGCCAACCACTCGCCTAAACCTCAGCATCGGTTGATTGGCCGGCTAGGACAATCAGCTAGTGCACAAGAGGGGGAAGAGAGATTGAGGTCGACCCTGGTGAATCCATCCTTGTGGCACTTCAGAACATTCCTTGATATAATAAATCTGACGCGTTTGGAACTATAACGACACACTAAATGTCGTGGCTCAGGAGGGCTCCAATTAACGGCTAAACTCCGGTCTCGCGATCAACCCTGGGTGTTTGTGTGGAGTAACCGACTGGCAAACTGAGTCAAGCACAATGCCCCCACCTTTAGCATTCTTCTATCGCATGCTTAACACATGTGAGACTTGAGCAGGCTACTCGCTTTGTATGATATTCTGGTGCGTTGCGTGGGAGTTCAGGTCGTGTGTGGCGCACGCAGGCGGGCTGTTTAGCTCTTTCAGCCACTGCGCCCGATCCGCGTATCAGATGACTGATTGGCCCGGACGGTGGACTGGTGCCTGTGGGAGGGATTAGTGTGAGGTCGACTCTGGAAACTCCGTCCCCACGGCACTCGGTGCATATTCCTCACCACTAACCATTTGTCGCGCCTTCAAACTATTAGGGTGCGCTAAAAGTCGTAACTTGGAAGGCTGACAACTGACGAGATAACCCGGTTCTCCTCTCAGGACGGGAAGTCACTCTGCAATGGCTCCCTGGTGTGGCCTTTACAGCATTCCCATTCAGTTTAAACCTGAGCCGTCCCCTTGTTTCGTTGAAAACCTGGTCTCCTGTGCACAGTCCAGGCGTGTGCGGCGCGCGCAGACAGGCTGTTTGGCCTTGTCGGCCAACGTGGCCGATCCGGCCACCGGTCTTGACTCAATCTTGCCGTCCGGCCCATGAGGTTGGGGGAAGTGTGACATATTCAACGGAGGTCCACTATCACCATGTATTAAATTACGTGCGAGTCGCCGTCCCGGTGCTGTGGGTCACGTGGCGGACATCGTCGGGGACGGTTGAACTGTCAGGTTTCAACGGGGAACCCCGTATTTGGATGTGTGTTGTCATTGCAGTAAAACGGAAATGGTATGGGCAATTCCTCCGTGTCCCGTTCTTAGCGTTGACCTATCTATGTATCCCTTATACTGGCTTTGGATGTTACTACTACGTTTTACACAACAGACGGCCATGCCTGCCTATCCTAAGCGGGCTTTCCAGAGATTCATGGTAGATTCTGAGGCATCTGAGCAGACTGCTAATCGCGCCATTTATACTTTTTTGTTAGTTGAGTGAGCT